CACTATGCCCTGGATTAACAGATCACAGAGCCAATTAAGAGAAGAATGACAAGTCTCTGAAGATGGAAACTGCCTGGAGCAGTCCTGCAGCAATCACACATGGGCACTATGATGTAGATTTCAAAGTATGAGTTTAACAATACATTCTTCAGATAAGGGTGAAGTTCTGATTAAACACTTTCATAAACTGAAACAGACTTTTATTCATTAGCTGCTGGCTCAGTAAAGTAATAATTAGCTTACTGATATACTGTATACTTGCTCATCAGTGATACAGTTTTAAAAGTTCACAAAATACTGAATTCAAACAGGGCATGCCTGACTACAAATTTCATTTTAAGATGTGCCTTTTATAATCAAATGTCTTAAGGTGGTGTAAAAAAGTTATTAAAAAATAAAATAGTGACTGCGTACATTAATTGGTCAAAAAAGAAACAAAACTAAAAAAAATGAATTTGAAAGGAATTCCATAATATGGATGAACAAACAGAATACCTTATCATTCTGGGTGTGCTGGTACAGTATTCCCCTCCTGAGTGGAAATAGGGAACAATGACAAAACTAGCTTCAATGTAAAATAAACGTCCCCATATTATGTGTAGTCTTCCTTCTGTTCTTGTTCTCTGTCCGACAATGTTTCAGTCAGAACTACTGACATTATCCATTCCTGTACTGACTGGACTGTGAGGAATGAACATAACGTCACTTTGAAAAATAGCATCAGCCAAATAAACTAACAATAAACTGGGAAACACTCAGAGAGAAGCTATGTGAACATGGAAAAACGTGCAAACTCCACACAGAAGGCGCTCTAGTCCACAATTGATCTTATGGACCCATGATTCAAGAGGAAGATACCTGTACTGTTGATCAGACAATTTAGTCTCATTTTAGCTTGAGTATGGCTTGGGGGTTTTTCTTTCATCCCATCTAAAAACAAAATATGTGATCTTTTGAGGCGTGCAAACAAATCATGTCTCATCTGCTTCCATGCTTCAAACAGCAGAGGTGAAAGGAACCAGGGCTATTTTTTTAAAAGACGATCAATGCATCCTGACACCTTTGCAGTACTGTTTGGCACTACACATTTCTGTAAAAAATAACAGTGTTCCTGTTCTCAAAGAGCCAGGCGTGTGTTCCAAGGAAAGCTGTTCAGGGAGGGTTGATCTGTGTCAGTTTTTTTTTTTAAATGGTAAGACAATTTGGAAAACAAGCAACTGTTTTGAGGATCATTGCCTGATTGTCCTCCAAGAAAAGAGAAAAAAATCACCAGAACACTTAGTGACAAACAACAAAGGAGAAATGGATTATTGTAACGAAGCAAGAAAAAACAAACATTTCAAGATGAAGCCAAAGTAGTAGTGGAACCAAAAATATGATGAAGTTTACTTAAACCTGGAAATCACATAACACAGGTGCAGCTCCACACCAATGTCTCTTTTGCTGCATGTACAGCTGATAGTTGAATGAGTTATAGGTTAAACTTGCTAAATGTTGTATTGTGAGTTAATAGGATAGTATAGTGGGCTTGTGTTAAGGATACACAGCGTCCTAGAAGCAATGCATTGAAAAGACTCCAGCTGTTAAATGGATGCAAAAAGAGCTGAACGACATGTTTTTGTGTGAGTAAAAAATGGTTTCACCATTTTGTGCAACGAGATGAGAGTAAAGGTAATTAGTTGTCCAGGGGAAAGGTGTTAACAAGACTCGATAAACCATGTGAGGATGCTGGTATTTCTTTTGCACACAATAACTCTCCACTACTCATCTACCTTTCAAATTGAAAGGTCCAACTAAAAATAGATTTTAAGGCTATCAATATCAATGGCAATGAGTTGCCATTCAGAGTGCAGGTTGAGCCCCACAGGCTTTCAGACATTTCCAGTTTCAGCCTAGGTCACGTAATTTGCTAACCGTGACCAATATTTCCTGGGCAAAAGTGCTTAATTGGCCTTACACCACCAGGGACAGATACGCTTGAATGTCTTAAGAGTGGCCTGCCATTTACCAGCAATGCCTGTGATTGGTTGGGCTCCTGTAAGCCTTTCAGTGTCAGCGAAGGGTATATCACTCCACCAGCCAAGTGCTAAGTCTTCAGCACATCCGAGATTGGACTTGGTAGATCGCGTTGACAAGCGCATGTTTCTGAGGAATGCACGCCATGACAGGATGGGGGGAGTGGGATAAGACCTGTCTAAAAACCAAATATAAAATGAATAAAAGAATACCTACAGTATGATGAAAAGAATTATTAATCTTCTTCATCTGAGAGATAAAAACTCTCTGTTGAAAGGGCTTGACATCTAACAACAAAAAATCTATGTTTTATCTCAGGCCTATAAATAAGTATTTTAATTGCTATTACATTAGCTAGTCAGTTTTCAATGACAGTGATTACACAGCATGGAAGCAGGCAAAACTCATCATCCACAATCATATACCACACTGTACAAGTAGCAGAGATATAGCTGATATACAGTATACAGTATTACTGTATATTTTTGTTTTCAGTGATGGCTGAGAAAGAAATTGTACCATTAATGATTTTAACATCTCAAAGTTACAAAGCTGGTATGAAGAAGAACTGGTGCTAACTCATTTAAAAGGGTAACAATGTATTTAACGATTGTCCAGAGTTCTTTAAATGTATTCTGGGATAAATAACTATAGCGGCTCGTTTAACATTCTGATTCTATTTCATGTCAGGCATCCAAATGGAGCTCTTTTTTAGTACGTAATTTATTTTGATTTAGGTTAACGTAATCTTGTTGAAAAAAAAAGAATGAAAATACAGTTAACCGGGTTGTTAGCTGCTTGAACAAGAATTATGGACAGTTTTTGCAGTCCTTAATTCCAAATAGGGCACAGTGAAAAAGCAATTTCATGACTGAATTAATCCCCAACGTCCAAGTGCCCTTCCTTAACTGGGCATAAATCCTAATTTGAATCTGAATGCGAAGCTGTGTGTAGGCTCTATATCCCCTTGTCGACTATAGCTGTTCGATACACTTCTAATAGATGAGTCTCTGCCCTTGCGTTCTTATTTTCCCCTTTATGGAATTAAACAGACACTACTGTATATACAGCAAGTACAAAGATGATGTTACTTGCCCACTATATAGATCACAGCACCAGTCCTGTTCAATTCCCATCATTACTCAAATCAAACCTGCAGGTTCCCATTTTTTCTTTTTATTTCTTTATTTTTTCTGATGTTATATTCTTTGTTCTAAATATCAGTTACAAATAAACCACAGAACTGACATTATCTTAGAATTCCTATCTCTCTGTGCTTTCTTTTTTACCTTTTCTATGGACCTACTGTTAAAAAAGCAAAAATGTCAAAAACTGTTAATAGGCATGAATGTCATGGGCCCCCCGTGCAGGTTGCATGGTAAATCAGATGCATGAACCATTATCAAGGCATGACACCTGACATTCAAGTGACATCTTTTAAAGTATTTTGGTGTTGTGACATTTTTTTCTCCATTTTCTGTCCAGACAGAGCCTTAGCAAAATCTCAACATTTTAATGATGTGAAAAACATTTTGCCACATTTGTTTCAAAAGAAAAAATGGGAGATTACCACATGGTTTAAACACAGTTTTCATTCATTTTCCACCATAAGTAGGAAGCCACAGAAATAATACCAAGACGTCACCCAGGAATAAAGATAACATGGTTTAAAATATGGGTTTTAACCAAGACTGCAATACAAAGCTTCAAGACACCGTATATAGTAGCTCTGCATGGGTATCTTCAAATGGGAAAACTTATAATGATAAAACAGGAAATACATGATTCTACATAAGCATACTATGAAGCAATAACCTTAGCAATGTCAGTTCTAAAATAACATTTAAATTATCTTGTGTACGATCAGTCAAAGGCACTGTCATATTCCTATGAGAATTACTGACAGCTCTTCCTCATCTACTCTTTTCGTAAAGGACCCCGCACCACCTGTGTTATAAGAAATGAATTCCCCCATAGGCACATTATTGTTTTTTATTTTTATGTTTTCACGTGTGAAGATGTGAAGATTTTGCATGCTATTTAAATCCCATATATATTGTAATATAAAAAGCCTTAGATGTGCACAGTTCATATGATAATGTTGGTTTTTGCTTGTATGGAAAGGTCCAGTTTTTCATCATATATTTTTAATCTGAGACTGGCTCAGACCAAAAGTGATAATTGCAGTTAATTGCATCACATTTGTCATGGGCCATGCAACTGGCCTATCTATTACTCTGCCTCCTATATACTGTAATGTGATCATCGAACAGCTAAGCACCCCAACACATTTGCTCTTATTAACACAATAAATAACATAACTGGAGGCCAGAGGTAAGCATATTCCATTCCAGATGCCTTTTTGTAACCTTAAAATGAGCTTAAAAAATATTTTATAATATTATCTATTTTGAGCAACCAATAATCCTACCCACCAAAATTTTTCTCAACATATATATTCATCTGTTTATTCATATGCATTTATGCATCTAATAAATGTTTATTTTATTGCTTGTGGTGTTGTTTTTGTTTACATTTACCTTTAATATATCTGTTTCTTGCCTTCAAGAACAGTTTGCAATTCCTGGTCCAATAATTTTTTTACATGAAAACTACTCCTCTTGCTGATTTTCTGGAGAAAATAATCTTAATTCTACTGTATATCGTGTATTGTCTCTCTCACCATGTATCTAAGTTGCCCACTTAACTCCAGATGAGACCCACAGAAGAGAGAGAGAATCAAAAAGCAGAAAAAACCCTGTGATTAGCTGGATTGTAAACAGAAGAAACAGACAATGAGAGTGAAGTGAGCCATCAAAGAAAAACAGAAGCTGCTGCTGAGGATATCATGAAATAAATGGACACATTGTTGCTTTGCCAAGTCAGATAAGCCAAATGCAGCAGCTGATCTGAAGACCATTGACCCCATTTTGTTCCTAGGGGGTGTGTGTCGCAAGTGAGTTGGTATATGACAGGATGCTTGCCTGAATGGAGGCCACTTCTACCTATCCTGATGGAGAGCTCCTGAGAGTCTGAGTGAAGGCAGGCTGAGTCTTCCTTCTCTTTGAGAGGTTTAGAGTCCCGATTTGAGATCAGGGCCGAGTGAGGGTCTTCTCCAATACCCTGAAAAAAGGAAAGATTTTAGAGAGGCTCTCAAACAAAACTTCGAAGACTCAACAAAAACATTCTCTTGATCTCACGAAACAGCACCCCCCTTTTTTTTGCCGGGTGCCTGAAGTCTCAGCATTATTGGTGAGAACTGGATCGATTATCCATCCAGTAAAACCGTCAGTTTGCAAGGAAGGGGATAATACAAATTTTGATTTCATCTCTCAATTAGGAACTGGCGATTTCAACTGAAGAGATCCGCACACAAGAGATTGAGGATGTGTAGGCAGACTCCTTCAACCAGCCTACCTCTAAGCCAAGCAAGGGCAACACATCCCAGACTGGAGGTTCAGCACTGATTGGAAGAGGGGAGTGTTCATCATTGACGGCATCCCATACATGCCTCTTCTACCTCAGTGTTACTCAGCCAATTTACGTAACCACTTGGAGAAACCCAGTCATAGCTGAATATTACAATGACTCAGGCTCAAACCCATGATGCCTGGATTCTAAAACTCAACCTGTGCTCAGGAGAGAGCCTTTACTTAAAGAGACACCCAGAAATAAAAATAAAAACAAACAAATTTAAACATCTTTCACGAAGGAGAATCATTTTCTTTAGATAAGTTTCTTCTGACGGTAAGCCTCTCTCAAATGGTACACATGGATCAGCTGACAGTCAGGCTGATTTCATGATTTGATGCCTTAGGGAATACAATTAAAAGAAAAACCTGATAAAGAGTGATGGCATACTTTAATCCATCCTGTATTTCATGCCTAAAAAGTGCAGCTCACATTGACATTAAAAAGGAAAAAACTAATCTGATGGTTTATCATTACATTTGGTTTATAAGAAATAACAGATACATATTTTTTCTTCATTGTCTTGAGCACAATACATTTATTAAAGCTTTAGTTTTTTGTAGATTCCCAAACCTGTTTGAATCAAATATACATCTTTTGCTAAACGTGACATTTCTTTGGTCTTCAAAAAGCTATCCCAGCAGTTGTGCTTTTATAAACTACTCGAAAATCTTATATTTAAAACAAATTGAAAATGATAATCAAATTCAAAATTATTTGAATAGGGAATAGATGCATGTTTAATTAGCAAGAGCTGAAATTCTGGTTTGCTCTAGATAGCGATTGGCATGTTTCTAATAAAACAAATTACTGTACCATTCCAAATACGTATTTTTGCCTCTTAACGCCACCCTCACCCTCACTTGTTATTACACCTCCATTTTTATGCATACTCACAGGATCCTGCTCTTTAACAAGCTAAATTACTTCGTAAAATGAAGGAAATATCAGCATGTTTTTTTTTTTACCATCAGAAAAAAATTGCAGTGGGGAGAGCAACTGATGTAAAAAGCTAGTTTGAATATTTATGATGTGTCAGACTGTGAGTGTGACTCACTTCTGACTCCTTGAAGAAATCTCGGAATCCAGGCTGCCTGCCCATTCACTTGAAAATAGGAACCATCGTGGCACAAGGCACTTATTAATCTGTGGGCTTTGTAAATTAACGTTCTGTTGTTTTTTTACATAGATATTTACTGTATTCTATCTATTGGTAAGATTTAGCACGTACTGCTGCGCGTAAGAAATTTGACACTCTCTTCTTATTGACATAATAAACGCTTTAAATTGAAATGAAGTAAAATCACACAAAACGTGAAACATTTTCCCAATGTAAAATTTCCAAAAGTTTATCCCCAGGTTTTTGTTAAAGGTAGCTTTTTCTAAGATGACAATTGCTGTTAAAACGCCATGCTCTTGGTCCTCGACTTTCCGAGAAACAAAAGAGGGATGCAAAGCCTCAGAGTTAAATCTGGTATATAATGTCCCCCAAAACTGCTTTTTTAGGAGATTAGAATATTTCTTAACCAATTTAGCATCTGAATAACTTCAATACTATTTTTAACATTCCCCTATCAGCAGGAAGCAGATTGCCTTGACATCAAGTGTGTTTTCCCCCCAATGAAGTACTAATATAGGGAAATCTATAATAAGGTATGGAGTGGGCATGCACACAAAGCTCTGCCAATTAACTTCAATTGTGCTATAATGAGCAATCTCGCGCTCATGTCCTTTTCTGTAACAATCAGACAGATAATTGCATCAGACTACAAAAGCCGCTATGAGATAAAGAACAGAGGGGCTTTATAATCCACAAAGAATTTCAAATACCTAAATTATCAAAATCAAACTAAAGCCAAAAAGCCAAAGCCACTGCCTGATTGGCAGAGCAATGGAAGATTCACTTCAACTGTTAAGGCAAGTTTAAAAAATCAGTATAAAACACAGAATACATTTTCTTTTCAAGTGCTTGGTCCACCTTCTCCCTGCCACACAGCCTGCCAAAATATTCACAGGTTCTGAAAGCTATTTTTCTTACGTCAGATTTGTAATATCAGATATTTGTAGAATCAAATATGACTGAGACCAACGTGTAATGATAACACAAAGAAAGGATAATCCACAGAAATTAGAATTAAAGTGTTTTCATTTTAGCATGTTCTGGATCTTTAATACAACTTTAATACAGCCAAAGGCACAATTAAATGAAGCAGCTGTGGCAATAGGACAGCATTCTTCTGCTTGTGAATTTGTACCTAATTAGATTCTGAACATGTTTTTTTCCACAGTGATATTGATTTTTTTTTAAATCTTTTTCATCAGGCTACTCTTATAGAGTTGATAGAGTAAAGCCTCTCAATTTCCCAGAACGTCTACATTATTCAAGTCCAGACCCTTGGTAGAATCCTGGTCTCACAGAACATAAGGATATGGCAATTATCTATATAAAATACAACAGAAATGGACGTAAAAACTCATTGTTTTTATTTAAAATATAATAAAGACAGCAAGAGAAGTGTGTACACATCTAGCATTTTGCATAATTTTTATTTTGAATTGGAATATTTTCCAAATTGCATGGTGATGCAGTGCTTAGCATGGCTGCCTCCGCTGGGGTCCTGGGTTCAATTCTGGACTTGGGATGCTATCTGCGTGGAGTTTATACTGAATATTCTACCTGTGTTCGTGTGGGTTTCCTCCGGGTGCTCTAGCTTCCTCCCACTGTCCAGAAGATATGCTGGTAGGTTAATTGGCTTCTGGGAAAACCGGCATTTGTGTGAGTGTGTGTATGTTTGTCTGTGTGCCCTGTGAAGAATTGGCACCCTGTTCAGACTGCAACCCACCTTGCGCACATTGATTGCCAGGATAGGCTCTGGCTCCCCACAACACTGAATTGGTTGAAGCTGTTAGAGAATGGATGGACAAATATTTTTTTCACTCCACACAATGGTCCAAGAAGTCCTAGATTCTCAAACTACAAACCTCTAACATTCCCCACATTGCTCTTTCTAAATACATTCTTTCTATACAGGTACTTCTATATGCTATTCTGGATATTCTCCCTGTACCCTCATCATTTGAAATGTGTGGTCATCACAAGCTCAGATTACAGTTTCCCACATTTCATGACTGAGTTGAAGAGCAGAACATAATTAAAGCCCCCTATCAGTCACACACAGCATAGTCTGATATTCAGTTTCAAAAGATGCTGACTGCTTTCCACTTACCAACTAAATAAGATCAATTAATGTAAGATGAGATACACAAGCTTACTACATTATCTTCTTTGCTGGATAATGAATGCAGTCACCAGGTTTTGGCACATTTTAAGATTTGAAGTTACTGCTAAGGAGGACGTGGAGGTGCAATGAAGTCATTTAACTGTGGGTCTGCACCAGTTCATAGCATATGTAAGAATATATTATTCCAATGGCAAAAACTAAAGCCCTTACCAACTTAAAGAGACAACTAAGACATTGCCAGCCAGGGGCAGCTATGTTTTCCAATATTGACCACTATGATCAGATAAAATGTGGTTCAGACATCTGGTGTCATTAAAAACACTGTACTAAGCTCCTGAGATTAAAGTTTTGAATCTGAATAGATTTGTCCACTTTCATCTGGAGCAGAACAATGATTACAGAATTTCACTTCTTAATGCAATGTATTATCCCACAGCTCAGACTGTAGCTGCTCCAAGAATAAACCCATGAGACAATCAAAAATGTAGCACCAACGAAAGTATCGTGCATGGTGTTATAAAGCTTCTCTAGATAAATCAAGTTTTATTATTCCACACTGCATAACAAGGCCATGACATTCAATAATGAAATATAATAAAAACCATCTGTAATAGGTAATGTGTCATGCATTTCTGAATAACCAAACAGAAATTAGAAACAAATTACAGTCCTAAAGGGTCACATGAAATGTATATTTATCTCGAATATAAACGTGGGAATATCCACTGCAAGGCAATAAATAATTTGAGTTCTTAACAAAATGCACAAAAAATACATTAAAAGCTGTTACCTGGTGTCAAGTTTTCCATGTATTCCAAAAACATAGTAAAGCAAAAAAAAAAGACAAGATTTACGTTCAAATTCTGTTAAGAATGTCGAGTCACCATTTCATCTCTTTCTCTACCAAACACAGAGATGAGCATTTTTAAAACTCTATTATTTTGGTTTTCACCCCATAGCCACTGATGGGTTCATAATCATGAAACAAAAACCCTGAATCCTGAAACAAAACAAAAAAAAACTTTTTTAGTCTATGGCCCAAATTGTTCTGTATAATAAACATAGCCTACAAATCACTAAACTTTTTTGTGAGCAATGGATTTCATAAAAGTTTAGTTTGTTTAGTCGGATGGACAATTTTCTTTGTGCATATTGAGTCTATCTCATGTCTTCCCATTTTTTTGTACTAATATTCCATTAATATTCCACTCATTTACAGTAGATATTCAATCACTGTTATTGAAACCTAAACTGAAACCTTTTTTATCATGTGGCACTGACAAGGATATTTTCTGTTCAACAGCAATAGATAAGAACATCAGAACCACTGAAAGTAAATCAGGGGGTTAGGGAGTTAACAATCCATCAGACACATGAAAAAGAACATGCTCAGCATCTTTAATTAACCCA